TATTATTATGGGGGTTTTTCCTCCTTCTGGGTCTAGTCCTGTTCTGGATTTAATGGGTTTGCTGAGGAACTGACAGAGCAGGTTTCCACCCACAGGTCTGGGAGCGCTTTATGGAAACAGAGAGGCATCACCACCCTTTGCTTTATAGTTGAGATGGAGGCAGAAATGGCTTTTCTAGGATGATCCAGTGGGAGGCAGCTGGTCTAGGCACAGCTCTTGCAGCTGAGGAATATGTCTGTGACCATTCATCTTCCAGAGGTTTGAAATCAAGGGGTAGAAAGTACTGTCGGACAGTGATGAATGGTGAATTATTGGCCTCAGATCAGGACACAGCACTGTCCTCTACGTTCAGTTCTTCTCTTCTGCTCTGGTCCTTATGGTTTTGGGTTTTCCTCTTCCACTGCAACCTTCCCACAAAACCAGTGTCCTCTGAGTCCCCCACCCAGAGTCAGTGAAAGATAAGGGGGCTGATGGTTTTCTTCCTGAAACCTGCTCTTAACTGGAAGTAACTCCCCTGGAGCCCACGGCACTGCCCTGCTCACCTATGAAAACGATGAGGTTTAGAAACCAGCTCAACCCAAAGGTTGCAGATCAGTTTCTCAGATGCTTTAAACTAGCACTGCTCCATCCATACGTGAGCCAGTCCTACACACTCACAAACATCCCTATGCTTGCGAGGTTGACAACGTTGTGTTTTCTCTCTGTGTGGGCTATATGTTAAAATATTAAACAGCCTCTCATGGGTCATTTGGAAGGGATCTACTGAGGACCTCAGCTCGGGTAAACCTGTTTACAAAGGATACGGCCACAAGAACACCACCACTGCTCACGTTAAAAAGCCCTTCCTACCTCTGCAAAGAGGACGAAGAAAGCTTTTGCATCGTGTAGGCTCTATTGCACAGCTGAATTTTCCAAAGGAGGTGCTAAGAGAAGTAGATGCCCTGAAAATTCTTTCTAGAGTCAGATTTTCAAACAACTGCCTTCAAAAAGGTTTATCCTTATCACAAAGGCCCAGAGGTTTCTAACAGCAGATGCTGCAGAACTATAACAAGAAAACATCGTCTCTCTGCAATTTTACCAATAGATGGCAGTGGACACATTTGGATGGTTCTTCAGCTGCCTTATTGGTGGAAGGCAGGTAGGGTAGAAAATATCAAACCAGGCTGGTTTCTGTCATCAAGCCACAGCAGCATGACTCCGAAAAATATGCACACTCGGTATCTGCCGGCTGTGGACGGACAGGTCTCGTACCGAGACTTTTGAGCAACCGCTGTGATCAATGCTTGCATATGTAAAGGTATCCCTGTGTCAGCAGGCAGCCAGCAAGAGCTTTGTAGCATCATCCTGTTTAAAAAGCAGCAGTAGCCCCTGATGAAAGTGTTTTTTAGGCCATATTCATCCCTTAGGATCTCTGGTACAGCTCTGACATCTAAATTCTGCTCTCAGTTACTAAGGTCTGCAGAAATCCCTCTAAACAAGCACGAAGGAGCTGTCACGGTGGGTGGAGGGACGGGGGAAGTGCCAGTCTTTCGGTGAATGCTGGTGAATGCTGGTGAATGCTGCTCTCAACAGAAGGAGCTATTTTGCTCTCTGTTACACCATCTCTTACAGAGGATGCAAAGATCCTATCAAAGCTGCTCAAGCAATAGGTATCTCTAG